AAAAAAAAAAAAAAAAAAAAAGGTGAACAGGAAGTGGTCACTGGATATTGCTGCTGTTACTGCCATTGCTGTCCGTGCCGTTAGTCTCTGAGGCGAGAGCCTTGTTGATGGAGTTAAGGTTGGCGTCAGAGGGCAGGGCGTCTCTGCGGGGCGGCATCCGCTCGTTAATTCGGTCTAAGCCCTTGGCCTCCTCGAAGCTAGTGATCTTATGCTGTGGTGAAAATCCTTTGATAGCTAAACAGAAAATCATTAAGAAAAGACAGAGGGTTAGCCAGCGTACAACAAGGGGCTGCGGTTGCATCAGGTGAGGTTAGAGACTTCGCAGTGAGTGGGAATCCTTTATTGGAGAACAATATGACGGGACCTGAACACAACACAAAGACTCCTTACCATACTGGAGGGAACCAAAGGTTTGAAAACAGCCAATGTCTCTTGCCAACCAAAATGTCCTCTTGAAGTGATTAAGATGTAAGCATTTCTCTCGTCTTCATCAAAGTTTAGAACAAAGAAATCCACAGTGGTTATGTAAAGGGGAAGGCTGGGCCTAGGGGCAGGCTTCTGGGACAGCAGCACTGGCCACACGTCATTGGCTGATCCCTGATCCAGTGCCCTAACCTAGACAGACTGCACCTTCCCCTCATCATGCTCCTATCCCAGACTCTAGCACTGGCCTAGAGCACAGGGCACAAGGGACTAGGAAAAGGAATCCTCAGGGGCTTTCCTCAACACTGCCAAATCCCACAAAGATCTCTTCAGCAGACCTCTCAGTGGTGCCATAAAAAATGAAATCATGAGCTCCTGTTCTCCCACTCATTGCTGGAAACATATGTGGAGTGGGTGACAAGGTTTGGGAAACTCAGAACACTAAAGATCAGGTAACTAAGTAGAGAAGCACTGTCTGCCCTTCAGCAGTGAACAGATCAAACTGATGTTCATCTGGTATCCATTACTACCTAAACCTAAGAAAAACCCACTCTCCGTAGTTCTATGTAGACATCAAGTGGTTGAAGAATGAGGGTGAAATGCTTTCCACAATTTTTGGCAAAAATGAATCAGATTGGTTTTTGTCTTTAATTAAAACATGGACTCCACAGATGCAGAGAGCTGCTTTCTCTTTTAGTAACTTTAGTGTGCTAGAGCGATAGGTGAGCCATTTGTGCAAATGGTTGAACCAAGTGTGAGCTAAAAATACAAAGCACAAATGGGGAACCAATGACATCAGTTTGTTTTACTCCCTGTGAAGTGCAAGCCAGGTACATACAGGCCAATCACCAATGCTGAATTGGGTTCATCTCCATGGCTGATTAAGGACAATTTCATGACACTTTTATTCCCCACCTTATTTGGGGAAAAAAAGTAAAACATTTTCAAGCTGATACTTTGCCAGCCACTCCTACACAAATGTGCAGTGCCTTTTATTATTAGTATGGACGGCATTCCTAAAAGATATACACAGTTGTTTAAAAGTTCATTATAATGAAAAATAGACTGTCCCCCCTGTGCATTTTAAAGGTTAGCATAATGGTGATTAGTCAACCATGAGAGGAAGAAGTTGGGGGAAATCGGGAAAGACCAAGGCCCAAAGCAAAGCTTCTTAATTCTTCTGCAATTCAATAACAAATTGCAAAATAATAGAGCTGTCTAGTGAGCACCCACCCTGAAAACTAATTCAATTATGTTATGGGGTAAAAATAACAGGCACCCTACTCTTTTTCTAAATGACTTAAATCTCATAGTAAATATAAAAAAAGTTTGTTATCACAATAAATTAGGAAACTTTCATTAATTTCGATAGAAAAAGTGAAAGCTCTGGGTCTTCAAAGCCAATAGGGTGGGAGCAGAGATATGAAAAATCTAGATGGAACGGAGCCTAGTTTGGGATGGGGCTCTGTTTCTGATCATCTCGTATTTATCTACGGTGCTTGGAAGAATGTGCTCTGCTGTAGTTGATGGTCAGACAATGGGTATTAGCAATTTACATTGGTAGTATACTTAACACAACACAGAGTCACAGAAACCACAGAAAACAGCCAAACTATCAACAAGAATGCACACTGCAGATTAGAATTTGCCAGGAGGAATGGAGAATTCCCACATAAATAGCAGTTTGCTCACTGCTATTTAGGAAGCAGTTGTATTTTTCTCTTACATTGCTGTCATTTCCCCTACCATATCCAAATCATAAGCAAATTGTAAATCTAAAGTGGCACTTTTTACATCATACCAAAGGACTATATATGCACACAATTTTGGGAAAGTAAGTTACTTTTGCAAGAACAAAATACAACTGAAGAATTTTGTTTTAAAGGGGAACTTCAAATTATTCTTCTTTAAAAAAGAATTCCAGAGGAAATAGTCTGTATAATATTAAAAACTACTTTGATGTGTAGTTCTCTCATAAAAAAGCATTCAATTAAAAAGTAGTTGCTAATGGGTCAACTGTCTTGCTCTTGAGAAGCTGGGCGCAGCTAGCTGAGAAGTAGATTTTTGAGTTTCCTCTGAAGAGCCCAGCAAGAGGCTCGGCCCAAAGCAGACTCGCAGAGTAAACATTAAGTGAGTGACTGCTTGAGCTACTTGTTATTGGCCACTTCCACAGCCACTCGATGCTTTTAGACTCCTTAAGATATTTTGCGAATGCTGGCTTATAAATATCAATAGGTTAAAAATGATAAGACTAAGTTTATCTCTATACATATCTGTCTCATATTAGAATATTTTATATATTTTTTAGAGACATAAGTAATGCTGAACTACAACAAAGCACTATTAAACTATTTTTTGTTGTTGCTGTTACAAACGTGTAAAGACTAGAATCAAACTAATTTTCTTTTAAGTCCTGCCTGAAAGTGATTTGAGGGAGGGATGGTTCAGCTCAGAGCATATTGTTTTACATGTCATTTGTCAAAGCGGCTGCCATAACCCCCACCCCACATCATTCAAGGGCTATATAATCCTTTAGTTTTCTGTGATTAGACTAGGTCCATTGTATACAAAAGTCAAACATAGCTTTAAGGGAAAAAACAAACAAACAAACCATAGAAGGACATTTTCCCCTTTAAAGCAAGAACATTTTGGTTAATACTGAGCCACAACTGTTAGCCCAACACCCACACACTCTGTACAAGCTACAGCAAAAAAATGAATACACCCAGCAGAGCCCTTATCTGTTGCAGATACAACAGAAAGGGGACTGGCCAATTTACCTTCATCAGCCTCAATAGCCTCAACAGTAGCTGAAGAGAAGAAAGGGGGTGCAAAATGAAGGAGAGAATGAGCAGAGGGTTTGTTTTAAGTCTAAGAACAAATCAGTGACGATCAAAGAAGCTGAGGGAACTAATGTTCCTGTAAGTGCTGGCTTCTGGCACAGACAAGACAGAAATGCTGAAAAGAAAGGAAGAAAGAAAAAAAACCCCACAGAAATGAGAAGTTTCCCTAATGACCTGCACACAGCTAATGCAGTGTTGGCGCACTAACCAATGTCAAAACAATTAGCCCTTCCAGAATACACTCAGCAAAGTTTTCTGTTACTTGGATTGAACTGATAAAGGATTATAGAAATTTAATATGTGTTTCAGACTTAAAGAGCACTCTGGAACTCTGCTTGGTGATGTATAGCTTAAACTACCAGTGGGAAAATTTACACTATTGAATTGTTTTAGACGGTAGCATTTCCTTGCAGGATGGAAATGAGATAGAAATGCAGGGGTGCAAATGTAAGAGGAGATAAAGTCAAGCTAAGTAGACAATGCATATGAGTTTTTAAAGGCAAATCTCTGAAGGAGGGTACCCAGAGGCTGAAGGTGAGTGGAACCAGAGGGAATGATATAGTCTGGACTTGTTTTACCAGGCAAACTGATTTAAAAGTCCTCTTCTGTTCCTGGTTAGATATCACTTTTGGAAGTCAAGTTCTTGAAATGGTACACATCCTGTGTGTGTGTGTGTGTGTGTGTGTGTGTGTGTGTGTGTGTGTGTGTGTGGGGGGGGGGGGGGGCAGCGCAAGGAATGAGCCCCTCACTATCTATACACACAGGGTGTTTGTGTGTGTGTGTGTGTGTGTGTGTGTGTGTGTGTGTGTGGTGGGGGGAGCTGGCAGAGCCAGGAATGAGCCCATCAGCATCTTTAAGAACAGGGTGTTTTCAATGTGGAAACCCTTAACTAAGGCTTCCAAATAAACAGAAACAGCAGTTTCAGAGGCAGAACTCTAAAAGCCCACTGCTTCATCAGCAGTTTCTAAAAGTTTGGTCTAGACTGCCACCGTACATGACCATGAATTAGCTGATAAGCCTTTAATGAAATGTTAAAATAGAAAACTTGTCTGGAGGTGCAAAATGCTTAATATAACATTCTGCCCTTTTATTTGCATTTTCTCAAAATTTAAACATTTAAAATTAGAGCAACTGCCAAGTGTACACTTGAGTTAACAACATATTTCAGATTCCTTATAACAAGAAGAAAATGGTTATCAACATGAAGAAGAGCTAACTGGGAAAGCTTTGCGTAGCTTCTCCTTTTAGGCCAATTGAAGGGGATCAGATATGGATTGTGAAGTAATATCAATGTATGTGGCTTAAAACATATACTAAGGTTTCAGAGTCTCTCAGGACAGATGAAGTTTCAACTCAAAATGTGTTTTTGTGTGTGTGTTGTGTGTGTGTGTGTGCATGTGTGTGAATTCAACACAGTAACACAGACAGTGGATTTAAAAGAAAGTAAAAGAAAATGAAGTAAAGCTACACACAGAGGTGAGCATCTGAAAATGATACGTGGAACTTTAAGAACACAGAGAACATAAGTTTAAAGGAAAGCCAAAAGCCTGGAGCCACACCAGCACTGTCTTGGTAGAAATACGCACTGCACACTAGGCATCCTCGAAGCTCAGGAGGCCCGTGGTAGCCAATGGTGCACTGCTCTGCTGTACTCTGAGCTTATCATAAACTAGCTTTCCATCAGCTGGGAAGAGTTGCATTCTGGGCATACAAAGGTCTCTTTATGCTAATATCTCAGTATGTCTCTTTTAGTGGAAAAGGTTTTATGTTTTTATGAAGTCACTGAAGTACTTTCTAGCTATAGATTTAGAGAATTTACATGGACTACTAAGTATATTCCTACTTTCATTTAAAAGTCTGAATTTTTGTGACAACTCAAAGACACTGAGTTTTGAATAAGTTCATCTGAAAATAGAGGACTGAACTCTGGTTTCTAGGGTGTGATGGCTCGGCAGCATTATATGCCTGAGGTTGACCCTCATGCTTTGTGTGGAAGAAGTAGCTGAATAATTTGACTGCAAAATTACTTGAGTTTCCTAGAATGGAGACTAGGGATAGGAGAGAACATAGGAGAAAGTTGGGGAAATTCACCGGGAAATAAGAGAGGCTGAGATTGTTTTAAAATGTTATCGTGTAGATTTTTTTTTTTTGTAACATTTTCTGCTGATGTCTAACAGCAAAATTTCCATTTTGTATAAATTGTATAATAATGAATATAATAATGGTAATTCAAGTTGATAACAAAAGAAAAATAAGAAAAATAAAAGTGCATTTAATTGTGCTACCTAATATGGGTGCCACTAGCTATATGTGAATGTTTAAATGAAATTTAATGAAAATTAGGAACCATTAAAAAAACATTTTCAGTTACTCTAGTTACATATCTAATGGCTGTATGTCACCAGTAGCTTCTGTAGATACAAGAAATTTCCATCATCACAAAACTACGCTGGACAGCACCTGTCTAGCAAGTTATGGTTATAAATAAAATGTCTACCTTAAAAGAGATGTTGCTATTCATTTTTCAAAAATAAAATGTGGCTCTCCTCTCTTATGTTTCAGACTGATAAATCAGAGACTGATAAATTTCTGCTCAAGTGGATAAACTATTCTCTTTATGGTCTTTCCACTAAAATCTATAGCTATGCATGTGTATTTTTGTGTGCATCTCATCAGTCATGTGCATAACAAGAATATTTATTAAAATGTAACTGAGAGTTTGTTTTTCAGCAACTGACTGACTAAGGGGTGAGGGGGCTCCACGAGGTTGGGTCTACTGTGTATATAGGCAACCTAAGTGGGATGTCCTGTAGGTATGCCTGAGGATTTGTGTGCCGATGAGGGAAGGAGGTGCGTTGCAGTGGATGAGGGTGCTCTCATGTTGGGCACGACTGACCAAACTGATGTGCGAGTTTCAGCTCTTCTTCCAGCCAAGAAGAACTGAGGAGTGAGACAGCTTCAGTGAATGAGTAACTCAGGGCGCTTCTGACACAGCTGGCCAGGTGCTCCCGTGTGCTCCGTCATACCACAGGGCCTGCTTACCGCTTTGCAGGGTTTGTTTCCCTCCAGAAAGCACTCCGCTGGGGAGCATGCCGGTTGGGGTCAAGCCTTTCAGCGTCAGAACACTCTCACTCTCTTCTCTGCAAGGCACAAAGTGGGGAGAAGTTAACTTCTTTGAAAAAAATGACAGATAAGAACACGCATTTACCTCATACTGTCTCTCTGGATCTACTGCTAATTTAAAAGTATTTTTATATGTTTACATTGAAGCAATAATACTTTATAAATGACTGTGGTGATAAAATTATACTCTGTCAATTCGGAGGTATGGTCCCTTCTGCATATTGAAGATACCAGAGACAATTGTGGTATGTAACCAGGTATCACAAGACCAAGTATTTGCTGTGTACATGTACCAGGTGAGCGGTGGTGTGTTCACAGACCTGATTTTCAGCCAAGGGCTCAGCAACAGTCACTGGAATTGAACTACTTGGAAGAGAAAATCAGAATGTACAGGAAGTTGAAGAAAAAAATGTGAGCCTTGGCTCAGATGTGAGAACAGGAAATTACTGCAGGGGATCAGAAAGGCATCTGATCTTTACAGGACAGACACACGGAATGCTGGCAGCCACTGGCCAACTGGCTGGCAACATTTGTGAGCGCTGCCTTGTCAGGCCCTCTCCTCACTACTGCTATGAAATGACCACTATTCATATGACCACTTTTAAATTGTAAATACACCATTATTTCAATTTATCATTTAACAATTACCTTGACTTACTATCAGACTTAATAACTATGAAATTGGAATAACCTCTTATCTTTCCACATAGCAGACTCTACATGTGTAGAAAAAAAATTAAAGCATGTTTTGTATGTGTGTATATATATTATATATATCATATATATTAATAGGTGTAACCACCAACATTTTCATGAGGATTCTTAATGTGGCTAAAACAATTTCCTCAATTATTCTCTAAATCTGTTACTTTCCTCAACTCAGAAATAATTGAAAAGACCATCATTTAGTTCCTGAAGCTCACAGGACTGTCTTGTAATGTCTTCCTTTCTCTGCTTCTACAGCCACTCCAGTAGTAAATCTTGATGCCTCTACCCCGAACATTCCCTTTATCCTAGCTCTTCTCACAAACCTACCATTTCATCTCTGAAACATGGCTTTATTGAGATACAGTTAACACAGACATAAGCCATTCAATCACTGTATATGGGTCCATGTTCTCATATCCATCGACATGTACAACTGTCACCCCAATCCATCTTAGAACACTTCACCACCCAAGAGGAAGTCTGGACACACCAGCCATCGCTCTCCCCTTCTTTCTGGCCTAACTCCTCATTTTACGTGCAGATTGTCTCTAGGGTTATTTCACATGAATGGTACCACACAGCACATGGTTCATTGTGATGCTTTTCTCGTGCCCATCACTAGCATCTTTATCTGGATTACAGCAGCCTTACAGAAGGCCATTCTGCCTCGTCTTGTCACAGGCTTGCCTCCTTCATTGATATTCTCAGGCAAAAAGGCATCTTGAATCCTTTAAGTACCAATGCCAGCTCTGTCGTTCCTTGATACAAAATGCCCTGATGCCCTCTTTCAATAGGAGTGAAAGTTAAAATTGAAAGGTCAACTCTTCAGCAGGCCCCACAGAGACATCAAAAAACTACTTCCTGTCCACACACACTCCCATTCTTACCCAGCTCCGAGACCACATTCTCTACCAGTCACTGTTCCGCAGCCAGCACACTGTACCCCAGGGTGTTGTTCCTCATTCCAGGTTATCTGCTCCAGTATCACCTAATGTTCCTTCAGAGAACTGTCACCTTCCATACACTCTTGATGATCTCACCTTATCTATTTTGTTTATTTTTGGTCTCTAATGCCCACCCTACTTCACTTGTCAAGCTTTTGAGAGCAGGGCTTTCTGTCTGTACTGACCCCTCTCCCATCCTAGCCCATACTGCATTAACACCAGGTGCCCATTTCACATTCAAAAAGCATCTACCAGCAAAAGCAGTAAAAGAAAAATGGAGTGGAGAATGGCAGCACTGATGTAGTTTACATCGTGTCACCTTGACTGCAGAGTTTACTCATGAATATTAGGACTGATCTGGCCAATTAATCATTGTTTGTATTCATAGAGGCATTTCAACCTTTTCTGGCTTCTGATATCCAACCACTAGGTCACATGAAGAAGAAATACCTTGAATACTAATAGGCAGATTTGGAAGACTCAGGAGTACTTCTACAAAAATGAATTTATCTTTCCTTTATATTCACATCAGGCTTAAGCCTCATGACTGGTATTGCTATATACTGAATCCTGATTATCAAATCCTATTTTAAAAGCAAGGCTGATCAAGCAGAATGAACAAGAGAAATCAACAATGATCAGGGATAAATTGGTTACTAGTTTTTTACTGACATGGATATTCTGGTGATCTAAAGTATTATTTTTTAATTTTCAAAACTTTAAAATTCTGTACCAAGGACAATGGGACTTTTTTTTGGGGGGGGTCAGACCTTTGGAATCAGATACTCTCAGGAAAAAACCCTAGTGTTATGATGGAGATCACACTGCCTGTCACTATTCTGGGCTTTAGTTTCCTCATCTATAAAATCACATTATAGCTATAGGGCTTTAGTGATGAACTGCGCAGAAATCCTAGCACAGAGGATCGGCCTGTCTTCCCCCTTGCTCTGTCCTTTTCTTCACATTTCTTGCCTCCTTCAGTTCTTCTGACTCCCATACCTGCTTCACACAGAAGCCTCCGCTCGAATTCCAACCTTCTCTGCTGAGTTCCCATGAAAAGGGCTGTTCTGTATTCCCACTGAGGAGCGTGACCTTATCAAAAACTTCCTTTAATCATATTTATCCGGGTCTCTTTTTCTGACACACCCTTCTCAGATCTTTTTCCTCTGGAACCATGGCTAGTCTGAGTTGAGGTGTGCTGTAATTCAAAACTACATACCAATTTTCAAGGACAGATCGTGAAAGAGGCTGGATACACTTCATGAATAAGTGCCATACTGATCACATGTTAACTTGTGCCACCTTTTACAGTGGTTCCGAGATGGAGGTGTTGCCTTTCTACTAGAAAGCCTGGCTCTGAAGCACTGTTGATTTCTTCCTCCTATGTTTGTTTTCCTTCAGTTTTTCTCTTTTCTTGTTTGATCCTCTCTGCATTTCTGAGCTTAACTTCTCTTTGAAGCCTTAGTGTAGAATTTCCAACTGCATCAACATGAAGGTTCTGCCAGGTTTAATTCATTGCAGTCACCCAAATAAGTACGTTTGATGTTTGGAGGAATACTTTCTTAGACAAAAGCGTTTTCCAGGCTTACAAATGCCAGTTCCTTTGCTTTCCTTATCACTAGCCTGGTTGTACATTTTGCTTGGATTACTTAGTGGCATATTCTTTCTGTTACCAATAGTCAGCTCACTAATTATTCCACACTGGCATTAGCATATGTATCTAAGGCATGAGTTATGGCATGCCTCTTATTCTGTGAAAATCATTCCAAGATGCCTCACTGCCAAGTCATAGAAAAATTAAACACTTTATCATGATATTCAAGACCCTGAGGATTTAATAAGTATTTTTCAGCCTCGATGTTAACTAAATTATTCACTCAAGCCTTTTACTGGTAAGCTCGTTCACATACCTAGAATTCACTAAGAGACTATTACCACTATTTACAATCATTCTAGGCTACATTATTTAATTCTGAATAAGATTCAAGTTAGCACTGCTCTGCCATTGAGTGTAGGCATGTAGTCTCCCTCCACTCTCCATTGTAAGGGAAGGTGATGCCAGCCTTATGAGTTTGCTAGGTAGATTACTGTTAAATATGCACACTATGGGGGCCAACGTCCAGCATTTAGCATGTACCTCAAAAAGAGATTCTATCAACATTGTGCCAAGACCATGTGACTGCTCCTTATGACTTCTCATGACTGGGCCCGTGAATTCTCTTACAAGAGTAGCCTCGCTGCTGGAGTTCTACCTATCCAGGGACTATAAAGGCTCCCTCCTGTTCACTGCCACAGCAGAGCACCTGCTTATTATTAATTTATATGCCCATCATTCCAATCTGGCTGCTGGGACGTCTAACTCAAATTCCAGTTTCCATTTAATGCTCAGCATGACTTCCTAGTTTAGCTTTTCTCTGGCCATGATCCTTCTACACTCTATACATCCCTTACGTGCTTCTATCATAGGAATGCAAGGGTGTGCACCTTGTTTATCCTTACAACTGGTTATCAATGGGTTTAAGTAGTCCATTTCTCATCTGGAAACAGCCATACACAACAGCAGTCAGGGACCTGGAGGAATCATCCCAACATTTAGATTCCATAACACTGATCCTTCCACCTTCATGTGGTTTGAGAACTCTGATGAAAACTTTCTCTTATGTTAGCGCTTCTCTCTTTCGTCTATATGTATTTGCACATGGAAACACTTAGAGGTGCTTTAATTTCTCCTAGAGACTTCAGTTGAAAAAGAAGAGCAGCATTTGGTAAGTCTGAGGCATAACACATGTGCCAGTGTTCATGACTGAGGTGCCAGTGTTCATGACGTAGGCTTTTCAATACAGTCATTTGTCCCCACAGGACATTTTTCTAGCTGCACTTGTTTCCAAGTAAGGACCTTTGCACCCGCTATCTCCTTTGCCTGAGCTCTCTCAATCCATTCATCATTTTTATACTGTTTCTTTACGAAGGTCATGTGTATTTGCTCAAAGGTCTTTACTCAGAAAATTTTTTTGGTGCCCACATGAAGTACCATATCCCCCATGTGATATCCCTCTACAGTGCTTTATTTTGCTTCGTAGTACATACTCAATTTTTAGTTTTATTGAATTTATTCATTTCATGAATGAATGAGTTCTAAAGTTTAGTGAGGAATGAGGAATATTAGAGCATTAGAGCCTCACTCACTAAGACATAAGGGGTGATGATGCTCCTTTTGCTCTTTCGATGTAACTTTTCATGCTGCCTTTGGATGCCACAGGGTTGTTGCTGACTTTGAGTATCCTTGTGAAAGGATGGTGATGCTTTTGATCCTTCTCATGGCCCCCTGCTTTCAGCATCAAGTCAATTCAATGACAATCAGAAGTAGCATAGAAATAACAAGAACTCAAAAGCTGCCATTGCTCCTTTAAGGGAAACAATAAAGGTTGGGAGATGGCTCAGTGGATAAAGCATTCATCTGTACAAGCAGGAGGAGAGGAATCGGATCACCAGAATCCATATAAAAACCTATAATCCCAGCATTCAGGAGACGGGATACCCAGAACAAGCTGGCTAGACTAGAATGGGTGAGTGCCAAGTTCGGCAAGAGACACTGCCTCAATAAATAAAAAGCAATTGAGAAAGACACCTGAGGTCAATTTCAATCTTCCAATTGCATGCACACATACCTACATGTGTGTGGGCACACATGTATCTCACATACACATTAAAAATAGAAGGCAAACATTTGGCAAAAATTAGATTATGAAGTTATAGGATATGTAGGTGCAGGGGTTCCTAAGGCCTAGCTTCCTGTCCTCATTAACGAATGTGATTGTGAGCTGACTGGATTCCTCATGCAAAACTGTACCGTATTTTAAAGTCATCTGTGCCGAGAAATATAATTGCTGTGCATTACCTAGGAATATATAATTAAATTTAAGTGTAAGGAATTCCCTTTAAGAAATTGTTTTAAAAACACATGCTTAATAAGAACAGCATGATTCCAGATCCATTTGGAAAACAGACTACTATGGAACTAAAGCATTAAGTAACTTTTGTACCTTTCAGTGATTCACTAGAGTTTACATGAACGGTGTTATTATGGTTGATGTTCATTTCCTAGAAACCTGGCGAAATGTGTCCAATAAATTCATCTTTTCCCACAAAGCCAGAATACAAACTAAAAAGGATTGTAATAGCTTCCCCCTTTGTGAAATGAATGTTTTAAAATCCTGCAGCAAACAGAGGGATAAAGTGCAATGTAATTCACTTACATGCACTTTCTTCATGGAGATGACTTAGATTGCAATGGAAGTAAAATACTGATGAACTGACAATTCCATTTAAAAGGAGAAAAATAATTCAAGGAAAACAAATATTTCCCAGTGAAAGGTTTAAATGATCAGATTAAAGTATTAAGATAGCTATTCAGTGACGTATTAAAATTCCAAACAGAAATAGGAAAAAACAGGGCTACCTGAGAACCGAGAACACTCTGGCCATTTTTCCTATTGCTCGGATCTTGTTCCGTATCACTTCCTTCCGTGCTGCAGCAGTGGCTCCTGTATTTAAAAAAAAAAAAAAAAAAAAGTAGCCATCAGTGACTTCTTGTCTACCTGTAACTACTTTGCAAATCTACCTGGGCAACAAATTATAATAAGCATGATCAAGCCATCAATTTTACTTTGTTTGATTTTGCTTCCTGTTAGTTATCTTTAAATCAAATGTTCACATCCGTGCCTTGGACCTTACACCAGGATGTGATCCATGAGCCAAAGAGGAAGCGTTGAGAACTGGTTGGGGTGGAAGGTAAGAAGATCACGGAATGGTGGCTCCTTCCCATTTTCTGGGTTTGACATTCCTTCTCTTTTGAGGAGATGATTGAGCCATTTCCTAGTCTTTCTTCTCTCTGCTGGGAGATCCCTCTAGGAAATTACTGCTTTTCTAAAATCCCTCCCCTGAAGCAAACACACTATAGGCATTACTAACCCTGGCTCCTGGGAGGAGTGCCTGCCTTATTCCACTGGTCAGATATTCTTTCTTGACAAGTTCTAGGATGTGGGAAACCGAGACAGAGGCTCGGTTTATAAGTTTTATAACTTCTTGAATTTTTCAGATGAATAAAAATCAATCTATACGAATTATTGCTAATATATTTTCTTTCCAAAAATATTTTCTCAGAGTACAGTATAATCTTTAACACATCTATTTTATTTTTTTAATTCTCAAAATACACTGGAGATGGACAAAACATAGAAATACACCTCTCAAAAACTTTTTTTGTGTGCTACCGGAGATTGACCTTAGGTCCCAACGAATGCTAATAAACACTCTTACACGGAGATATAACCCCAGCCCTTCTTAAAGACTTTTTTCCTTATAATCCAAGTTTAAAAAAAGAAGCGATACTTAGTAGTGTCAACTTGACTGGACTGAGCAGTGCGTAGGAGATTAATAAAGTTCACGCTTGGATATTCTTTGGCATTTCCTGAGCTTTAACTAAAGGTAAATTATCTACCCTGAATGTGGGTGACATTATAAGCTGGGGGCCTGGAGAAAATAAGAGGGGAAAAGGGAGACAGGCAGCTGGTCTGGGCATTCCACCTCGCTGTTTCCCGAGGCCCAGGCTGTGAGTGGCTCTTCTTCACAATACCGTGGATAGAAACCCCTGACATCATGAGCCCAAATAAGTAACTGCTTCTGCTTACACTGTCTTCTCAGTGATGAAAGGTCTAAACTAAAACATTTTGTGTTACATGAGACTTTACAGGAAGTAGCAGCACAGCAATTTTTCTTTCTCCTCCACTGTCTACTGTGTCTAGCATGTATCGAATTACCACCCTCCTCCCTACCCTGTAACATCAGAGTGTCCCAAATTTGAAAGAACAATTTTAGTCACCAAAACTTGCTGAGGCTGGAATATATAGGTGCTAATTGATAAATGTTTTGGTCTTTTAACCCATGGCAAAAACAAGCTTTCTAACTCCTTTTAAAGGAAAGACTCTGACTCTTTTTTGAGGGCTTTTGTGAACATAATTTGGACCTTGACAGTGTTAAAGGGCAAGCAATTAACCATCAGGCTAGCTAACATTTCTTCAAGAACAGAAACTCGTGACAGTGGGCAATTTTGAAATGGCTGGAGACATGCTCTCTGCTTTTTCCTCCTCATTCAAGAAAAGACACAATGGGACTTCTTCTTCACTTAAGTGATTAGGCTTCAAAGGTGACATGCATATTCGCCTCACAGTGCAAGGATATCCCCAGGTGGGAACCAGTCAATGAGCTGGCATCCTTCCACATTCCCTCGGACCTGAAAGCGGCCCATATTTCTGTTTATAGTTCTGTTTATTTCTCTTTTGTGGAAATCACACCATAGGAGTTGCCTCCCCATGTTGTGAGGCACTTCACCACAGACAAAACTTTGCCGAATGAAAGTCTTTCACTAGCTGGCCAGTGACTATGCAAGGGTGTCGGAACGCAAGTACAGCCACGAACTGTCTCTAGGGTAAGTTTTTATACAGAAAAACCATAACCAGGGGGTGAAAAGTTTGAGTTCCTAAGCTTACAGGTGGAAAGTCGCCTTAACAATTTCTATTCTTTTACTATTTTGCAGGAGCAAGCCAAGCATAACCTAGAGAAGCCATAAATCTGCAGTTAGCTGGTACATCTCAGGACACCTGTTCTCAACACAAGTGGGGTCCTGCTGATGTCTGTTCCCATACCCTGGGCCAACTGCCTGATAATTTCAGAGACTAGAGCCAGCCTAAATGTCAACATGGCGTGGCTATGGCCAAGAAGGTGCCCTATCACACCCACATATGCATGGGCAGGGCTTGCTTATTTCCAGCCACTCTGCCTGCAGTTGGGTGGAGTGAGGGCGGAGAATCCATGTAGAAGAAAACCATTCTCCAATATAATCCTTGGCAATCAAGAGTCATGGGGTTTCTGGATTCACGTACTTAGATTGTAGGTGACTAATGACCATGAGAATGCTGACGGCCATTTGTTTTTTAAAATATCCTAAGTGAGTGGAAGTGGTCTGTGTGGGACACTCGTCCTCTGTGCTTCCTCATGGTTTCAGGTCAGGGCTGCTCTCCGCCCAACACCGCCATTACTACTCTTTGGTGAGCATTTCCCACCCTGCTGACCCAGTCATGGCAGAGGTCATGGTGTGCTGGGCAAGGGAAAAGACTCTGGCTCTCTCCAATACACAGAGTGGCCAGATCATGAAACCAATCTACTGACACAGAGAATGGAAAGTGTGGGTGAGCTCCAGAGAGGGTGTCTATATTTAGAAATGCAACAACAACAAAAAGCAGTGAGGAGCAGTTAAAGAGGTTAGAAATAAGACTGCACATATTTAGGAGAAATGAGAAGGGTCAAACAAGAGCAAGTGAGTGAGAACTATGGAAGAATGATCTCACAGAACAGTTTCCAATAAAGGACGTGTGAAAACCAGAACCCGAGCAATGCAAAGAATCTAAGTAGGAGAAGGACGGAAATAAATTATGTTGAACTCTGTCTCTCAGCTCACTGAGAGCTGACTCAGAAAACTGTTCAGTGCTACATTTCAGATATGAGATGGGCACTTCTACACTACTTACATTTTCATATATGGTAAATTACTGTAAGGTACATAACAAGTATTCTACTTTATATATGTATAGGTGTGTTTCTAAATGAATATATATAACTATATAACTATATAACTTTCGTACTGAAATATCCTCTTTTAGAAATTTTTCAGTAATGCAGTAAAAAGCTTTATCATCTTTTTCATAAATATTAGAATACAGTGACTCAAAGTTCAAATAATCTTATCATAGATGCCAAGAAGAAATGTTAAGACAATATATAAATCAGGCGTGGTGGTGCATGCCTTTAATCCTAGCACTTGGGAGGCTAAGGCAAGTGGATCTTAGTTCAAGGCCAGTCTGTACTACATAGAGAGCTAGAGGCCGACCAGGGCACAGTGAGGCCCTGTCTCAAAAAACAAACAAACAAACAAACCTCATTTAGTCAGTGCCCCCCAGCCCCCCACATTATTCTGTAGCTCAGCTGGCCTCAAACATTATGGCAATCCTCTGGTCTCAGCCTCAAAGTTATTGGGATTACAGGTATGAACCATCATACCTGTCAAGACTAGTTTCTTAGCATTTTCTGTTGGAGATAGCCTTAAATATATATTTTTTTCATCTTTTTGAGACAGGGTCTCCCTGTAGCCCCAGCTGGCCTGAATTTGCTATGGAGACCAGGCTAGCCTCAAACTCACAGAGATCCGCCTGCCTCTGCCTCCTGAGTGCTGGGATTAAAGGCATCTCAATGAAACTCATATTATGCAGGTATAACTTCATAAAATGTGAAATATAAAAATGTGTCTATTAGTCATGTGTCTTCATGACTACAGGAATTCCCATTAACCACAGCAGGATGGGATGAAGTTAACATATACATGTCCTGGTGTGCTTAGTACTGCTATTCCTAGATTTTGGTATTTTCCAGAGATGACTAAAGCTGTTTTGAAAATGCAGGTTCCACTAAAGGTTCTCACAGTCCATACTTCATTACAAAGATCAAAAAAAAAATATGCATGTTTGCCAGAATTTTATTACATGCCACATGCACATGTAATATCACATTTAACATTCTTGGTACCACTTTAAGCTGTGGCCATGTACCATGGTTACATTTAAGTAATGAAGGCATAAGATAATGCTTACATAAAAAATGTAGTATTTTTCATTGAAAATAATATAATCTCTTATTTTAACTTGGAAGTCCAAAACTGAAAGATAGTAGTATTTCATATGTTAAGGAAACAGTAATTTTGAGCAAACTTTTTTGTTTTCATTCAAACAGATAATTATGACTTGCTTTTGCTTCATTTTCAACTTCTAAGTTTTGGTGTTTTTTTAAGCCTGAGGCATCATTTTATTGTTTTAGTAATCTAACAACCCTGCATGCTCTATGTTCCTCAAAGTTGGGGAGCCAAAATGTAGACTACGGGAATCTTTAAAGAGCTCCTTAAAATAAGTCCTGCTCTTACTGGTGCACCTTGCTGACTTTCCATGAGTGTTAAAGTTATCTGTGTCAGGTGGCCTGCTGAGCATGTGTCACCTCCTGCAGGGTATGTTTCAGCCTTGGAAGAGAGCTGGAAACTATCACAGAGAGGAGAGGCCCAGTGATAGAATGAAGAGCTCTTCCCATACTGAAGATGTTGGCCTGCTCTGGTACACAGCTAGCATGTGGCTGTGGAGCTATTGCTATAAAGGGCTAAACTCAGTTGGATCTGCACTAGAGGTATGCAGAAAGTGCTCTGTAGAACACAACTTATTCTCTAAATCATTCACTTATTCAACGTTCATGTGACTCTACTATGCATCTGTGGTTAGTGAAATAAGGATGAACAGGCATAGGCTACTGTGGGACATCCCGTGAAGGGCTGGGAAAGACTACCACAGATGGTGACAAACAGAAGAGGCACCTGTGTGCTACGACTGGCAGAAGACGGTGAATGCCAAGTCTTAACCCTATGCCCCTAAATTTCAAAGTGGGAACTTGA